ATTAGTCGCAGTTTTCTCAGCAACTATTCATCCCAAATGCTTGAAAAACAACTTTTTATCGCAGATGCTTGGAATTTTAACACAATCTTCTTTGAGGCATGCTATACATCATGACAAATTGTCGCAGTTTTCTCAGCAACTACTATTCATAAATGCGTGATCTTCTCATATAGCAGTCCCAAAATGGGTGTTGCTAAAATGCGGAATGGAAAACGGGTTGGAACATGAAAAATATATGTCAAACAAATAATCTAGATTCGGTATTAATCAGATATAAAGGCAATGTTCTTGATATAAAAGTAATATCTAATAAAAAAAATCATCGTAAATTATTATATATATTTATAATTCATGTCACCCTAAGAACTGGCACGTGTACCTGCGATAGTTTATAAATTACATACTACATGTAACTAGACTAAAATCCTTAGAATCCATCTGAACGTTTCTTACAAATTCTTTTTTTAAAAAGAAAGTTCATTCATAAAAAAGATATTGTCTTAAAATAGGCAGAAGGGAAACAAAGACTACTAGTATATAGATACGTTTGTGTAAAGATCAAAATAACTAGTTTTGACATTCATGCAAGCAGTGGCGAAGCAAGGAATCTTGAAGGGGGGGGGGGGAGCTTTGTTCGGGGTAGGAGCCCACAGCCACACCAAAATTAATTTATTAAATTTAATGTAATATACTTTGGACGCAAAAGGGAGTGACAGACCTTTTGCAAATTCTCAGACCTCTTTATTGAGTGGAAAAACAAACTCAAATGTTTAATGGGCTCATATGTACCCCCCTCCCCCTCAAACACACACAAGTACCACAAACAAACAAACAATAGGCAGCTTCATTGAATTAAAGATGTTACATTAAATTTATCACAGAAGGGTTTCCATCTTTATCTATCCAGGATTAAAGGAAATTACTCTATTTTGTATAAAATTTAAACAACCAGGGCTGGGTTTCACAAAACTATCGTAAGATTTGTACTAAGCTAGATCCTACGATCATCTTAAGATCTGACTTATGACAATCATAAGTTTTGTCACTGCTGTTTCACAAAACTATCTTAAGTATAAGAAATCTTAAGACAAATCTTAAGACGAATTTCCTTCTTAAATTTCACAGGGATTTTTTGTTAAATATATGTATGCACGAAGTTTAGATGCCTTTCCTTAATTTTGCAGATAAACCCTAGGAAAAAAGACATAAACATTTTATTGCATCAACTTTAATGTAATCAGGGTGTGTTTTCGTATATGGCGGGGGGTTGGTCAAAAAATTAAATTTGAATTAATTTCATCACCATAAAAAAATAATTGAATATACATATGTACATGTAATATGTTTAAATGTCTTCTTGCTCAAAAAATAGTACCATGTAGTTACTGACGAAATTTATGATATGTTTTTTTAATTAAAGCCACTAGAGATTCCGAACCTTTGCAATTAATGAATGATTATTGCAATGAATCCTCTTGAAACACCAAATCGTGTTAAAAGTTCGTTCATAAAATTCGATGTAGGTGTCTTTAAAACGCTTCAAGTACTGCAACAAAATATCAATGCTAACAGATGAAGAAAAGAAACGAAAAAAAAAATTTCTACTCAAAATTTTATAATTTCAATACTATTAAAAAAGAAAGAAGAAAGCATGTACATACAGCATCAAATGTTACAGCATGATTTTCATACACATTACACATTCCGGTAGATTAATGAGGGATACCCCAAGGATAAAATTACAATGTATTTGATTTTATCTAATTTTGTACAATTGAATAAAATGTTTACTATCTAATTTCTAAAAAAAAAATCACCATATAGTGTAACAAAATAAAGTAAAACGTCTAAAAATGAAGTGTAGTTATATATAGGTATTTTCTTTACTTTCATGGACTTATCTAATCCCTAGAAATGCATATACTTCGTATTTCTGTTTACTAAAAAGACATTAATGTACCCTATCAATAAATAAACTACAAATAAACAACATTTGTACAATAAAACGAATCTCGAACACAGGATCTGGATTTTAAAAACTGCTTAAATTAGCAATTCTTGGTCATAGTTATTGTGATATTCTTGCGGGGTATGGAATTCTTATGAACAATTTTGAATAAAGTTATATATGTCAGAGATACGTATTTTACATAAATGTACATACATTGCCTTAAGATGCATTTTGGGGGGGGGGGTGTTAGCGATTTCAGTTGGGAGGGGACACAAGCAAACAAAAAATGCATTGAAATGAATAAAGTAGAAAAACATTTTAAGTAGTTCATATGAGGTTTTCTATCGTTTATTTATTGACAAATTATTTTTTGCGGAAGGGGGGGGGGGTCGTCTTTCCGTCTGGCATAATATAGTCCAAAGGATTGTTCTATCACTAAAAACCGTTTATCTTTAAATATCCTTAGGTTTTTAGCCAAAATATATACTGTCACCAGTTACACTTTAGACTTAAGACATGTATCTAGTTGTCTTAAGATTTTGATAGATCTTAAGATTATCATAAGATATGACAGTTTTGTGAAACTACTATGATGCAATCCTAAGATAATTTTTGGTCTTAAGACAGATCTTAGTCATAAGACAGCTTTGTGAAACTGGCCACTGAGTTACATTAGAAGTGTTTATCCGAGCTTCCCGGAGAGGCTTGCTCTAATCGTAATCCTTTTTAACATTTTATTTCTCTTTCAATGGTTCATCTAGATATCAAATATTTGCCCCCCCCCCTTTCCACTTTTTGCCAGACATGGGTGTAAATCAAAGTACTGAAAGTACTGAAAGCCGGGCTTAAGAACAGCACACAGGTGAAAAGAACAGGTTTCAGTTAAAGTATGAATGATATAAGGAATTATTAGATGCAGCGAATGAAAAAGCATCGTTAAATTTTATATAAGAACAATAGGTTTAACTTTGATGAAGTATAAGGGTGATTAATTTATCTTTTTATTTTTGAGCTTTATATACTTGTTCTTTATTGTTATTGAGCATTTTTTTTCTTGCCTTATGCCATGGCGTCAGGCACTACTAAGGATCAATATTTCCTACGTCCGAAGCTAAGAGGTCACAGTTAGCCAGCAAAATTTTGTGCATGCTGATTATCATCGAATTTTGTAACCTGCGTTTCAACAACAACAGTTAGCAGAAAAATGATCATATTACTGATAGACTGAGGATGTATTTAAACATGCATACAATCGCAATATGTCGTCCCCAACTTCGTTCAGGACGACATAATGACTAGAAAGTCTGCTATTGCAAGCAATAGCGTATGTTTCCCGAACTGGAGAATTTTCATTTTGTCATCAGTAATACTATGCCCATTAGCTAAGCTTGGACAACCATCAACTCGTATCAGTCCTTTCGGTACTTTGATTTTAAAATTGGAGCTAAGCGCATGTGCATGCATATGCAAGTTATAAATCCAATCCTGTTTGGTTCAAAACTAGAGTAGTTATAGCCATTTAAAGTTTTAGCCAATCAGATTGCAGTGCACATGCATGCACATGTTTTCATGATTATTGTTATATATCATATTGTAGTAATGCATGACTTGTCGTAATGCATGACTTATTTAAAATTTCAATGTATTTCATCAAAAAAGAAAGAGATATTAAAATTTTTGTTTCAGCCAATCAGAGCAAAGTGCACGTGCATGCACATCATTTCGTGCTAATCTGACAATGTCATATTATCTACACTATTAATATATCCTTATATAATATCCTTATGAAATGAGCATTTCATCAAAAAAGTGTAAAAGTTAAAGCAATATTCAGTATACAAGTCATTTAATGTTGCACGCATCCGCACGTAAATGCGTATGCACACATAATGACCTTTGTTCCATACATCTACACAACATGCCTATTAGCCTTAAAAAGGTTTTAGCTCAATTGGATGGACATTTTTCTAGAACTCAAACTTGGACAACCATCAAACCTATCTGTACTTTCAGTACTTTGATTTAAAAATCGAAGTTCAAGAATTTTGATTTTCCCCCCCTTTCCATGGAAACAAATAAAAGCTTCGAATTTTTAAATCCAATGAGCACAATTAAAGAACCTAATCATTACATCCACAAAATTTCATGACAAATGTGCAAGGGTCTATGCCTACAAGTTTTGGGGATTTTAGTTCATGTAGAATAGTACTTGATGCAACAGAAATCACCCAGGATGTTCCAGGGAATGATATGAGATTGCAGGCCAGCACATACAGCGGATACAAAAATTCTCACACTGTTAAAAGTGTTACAGGTGTTGCACCTAATGGTGCTTTGGTATTTATTACTAAATTGCACCCTGGCAGCACATCTGATGTTGCAATTGTAGAACATTGTAAAGTCTTAGAACAGTTATCTCCAGGTGATATGATCTTAGCAGACAAAGGGTTCACTATTCACAAGTTGTTGCCCCCAAGGAGTACATCTAAATATTCCTCCCTTTCCAGTGAGGTCCAACTATGTCGAAGAATTGCTAAGTCACGCATACATGTTGAAAGAGCAAATGAGCGTATTAAGAATTATGAAATTTCAAGGCATGTTCCGCAGCAATTTAGATATATTTCTACAAAAGTCTTTCAATTATGCTGTGTTTTAGTCAATTTTCAGGATCCCCTTATGCAGGAAATTGCTCAGAATTTTGCAAGTGTAGATAACTAAGATATTAAAATTAAAATGTTTTCACCATGTTTAATGTTATATCTTATAGCTGTTGTAAATACGGGAGAAATTTACAGAAATAAAAGTCTGTCAAAACAGATATGTTGATCTCCCAATTGATGTCTTTGTTAATTCTTACAAACGCACAGTCTTTTGGTGTCCAGACTATAAAATCACACAAGGATTTCCCATTTATATGAAGCTGTCCTTGCACTTGATCATAGTATTGGTGGTTCTCTCATAGCTTGAAGGACTTGACTCCATTAAAATCCTAAACCTCTATATGAAAAAAATATATATGTTGAAGATTTTTAAAGAATAAGAATTTTCATTGGTGCCTCAATCATTAATATAAGACAAAACTATTTAACTAATAAATATTTACATGTATAAGTATTTTGTTCCTTACTGTACAATAAAGTGAGAAGGCAAATCATCTGCCTTGAGGACTAACATTACAACAGAAGGAAAAAACTTTTTTAACAATTGCTAAATTGTACTTAAATTTATCCAAACTAATATATTGGAATTATTTAAAGTAATATCTCAGTACATGAAACGTATTCAAACAAATACATACACACTATTATTACCTAGGCAGAAATCGTGTACTTTTTCAAAAGCTTCTGGAATTGTCAAATTCTTTGCTGAAAAGGGGCATTTCACCTCCAGTATTTCTGGCTTAACGTTTGACATCTCTGATATGTCAGCGAGTCCTGGATTCTGATAGCTGAATCCGAATGCAGCAGGACGACGAATGAGTCCATCGGGGCTTGACCCAAGAACCCCATTACAGTGTAGCCAGATACCTAATATGAACAGTATCATAAAGTTTCAAAATAGCATTAATATGCAACACTCTGATTTTCTTATGCATTGATGACTTGTTATAAATAGAATATACAAACAGTATATTTATATTCATTATCTTCAACTTCAGTTTAATAACTGAATTTTAAATAAATTAGCTCAAGAAAAACTTTTATTTATCATCAATTTTTATTTGCTTTAAAGAAATTGAAATTTTGCTTAGGAAAGAAATGTACCAACCTGTTGGCTCTACAACTGCATCCCCAAAAGTTCTATACTTTTCAATTGCGACTTTTTCATTGCACGTCCCCCAAATAATGGCATCCTTCTTTGACAGATCATAAGCTGAGCATAATCTTTTGTATAAGGAGACAGGATATCTGTTATATAAGGAGCAAACTTTCAATATTTTTGATTTTATAATTAACTGCTTTTACAAGTATCATTTATAATTACATATACATATAAAGGCATGTAAACTACCAGTATACCTATTTCTCTTGATCGCTGCCAAAACACAACCAAAGTTTGAAGCTGTTGATCTATTCTTCCTAACAGATGCAATTTTCCTTTTGACCAGTGGTAAGACAGGCAATCTAAAACATGACAAAAATCTTAAAACTTAAACAACATTCATAATGAAACAGAATACATTCTATTCATTATGCAACTCATTTGTCTTTACCTGTTGGATTTCTTGCTCATTTATCATTAATTTTTGCTTCATCCAAGCGATTGGATTCTCTGCAGAAATAAATTCCTGGCTAGAGATGAGGTCTTCAACTAGAGGCACTGCAAGTGTGGGCACAGGCGGCTCGGGGGATAGTATCCAATGCATTGCTGTTGATTTAATTAAACAAAAAAATTAAACCCTCAGTGAAAAAGACAACAAATACTCAATAAACCTGTATTGCAGTTACATCACCAATTCTTAATACTGGTATATATGTTAAATATTTTTTCGAACTTATTTTATTTACTACTTCAAATAAATTTTGGATTTCAATATGTATACGTGTGAAAAGAATGTACAAATAACTTCCTTTAAGTATGTATGAGAAATAGGGTGAATAATATTTAAACATTTTACTAAAGGTTGCAGTTGAGTTGAAGTTTTATATTACGTCACGATCTTCTAGTTTGACAGATGCGTTCAAGGTAAATAGTATACACCTCCTAACCGCAAGCTTTACGACTGGAACTTTCTTCTAATCCCTGATTGTTTGCTTGTACAACAAACTATTTCTGTGTCAAGGTTGATAATATGAGTTTATCAATCACATGAATTGTTTACGCTGAATGCATCTGTCAAAAAAGATTGTGACTTGATGCAAAACTTCACACTGAATTGAAATTGATAGTATAAATGTATAATTAAAAGTTTAAAACAAAGTCAACACAAAAACAAAAGAGACAAGAACAAAACTAAACATGTAAAAGACAAAAAAAGCAAAAAGAATGGAAAGACTGCACATCTTGTCAGAATTTCAGTCCAATGTCAAATAAGCCATTAAATATCTGAAGTCCAAAGTCCGGGTGTAATGAGTTAGTTAGGTGTTTTGTGAATTTATATATATATATATATATATATATAAATGTATATATATGCATAAAACACCAGATATATATATATACATGTGTGTATATAAATTTTCAAAAAAGTAACAATAGAATAAACTCTAAACAATGTGACACTAAAATAAAACACCAGATATATTAACCTGAAAATCTCCCTACAGTTGTCAATTTCTGATATAGGAACTCCCTGTCCCTATCATTGACTGGCCTATTTGTTGCCCTAGTAATTTTTGACAAAAGTTGAAAAATGGAGCATAATACAACACTGAATGGTTTTAAATATACCATGCTAGCTGCAGATCTGTAGCTTGCTGGTCTGAAAAAATTAGGATGGACGACCAGAGAGATACAGTTCCATCCATTGAAAAAAGTGTATATTGCCCATAAAAAATATGCTATTTCTCTATTTTTTATATTTTCACTTTTGGGGTACTGTCATTTTTTAATATTTTGCACCATTCATGAAACAGTCATAATAAATGCATACCTGTAATTTATAAACCTGTCATGTGCAGGAAAAAGTTCTTCCATCGTCTTAGTTTGACGAGGTGGTGCACTCTGGATGCTTAATCCAACTCTGGCGTACATCAGTTTTGCTGACATTTTTGTACCTGTATCAACATGTTCCATAAATTTACTAAGTTATATTATAGTCTTGGGGCCTAAAGTTAGATTTTATAGTTACAAGTATGCTTATATATGCCAAGGTAGTGGACTTGGAGGTTCCAGGGCACGAATAGTACCCTGCTACCTACAGTCACATGGTGAACTGCACACTTGTATATACCGGGTATATATATATTGGTGTGCATGTTTTGATATAATTTCTATTTAACATTAAATTTGGTAAAGCATACCTAAAACAGACCAAGTGAATTTACATATTACATAAATTGCATATATTAAAATTACCCATAGAGAAGAATGCTGGCTTTATGGTGACATTTGTCCATCCCATGTACACATTCACAGGTACTCTGTTCAACTGTTTAGTTAGAACCAAGAGTAATCTAATAAAATAAAAAAAAAATAACCACCTTAGGTGGTTTTTTTTTTTTTATTTTATTAGATTACTCTTGGTTCTAACTAAACAGTAGAATTTTACTTATATTATCTGATACTATCAATTTTAAAAGTAAAAAGCATGTTTACATGGAAACTTGAAAATTGTGGAGAGAGAAAAAAAAGAATTGTAAATTAATTTATTATTATGTACTAAGACATTGCATAGACACTTTCAGTCAAGGAAATTCTGAAAGAGGTTTGTTCTGGATTTATTGCATAGGCAGGATAAAACATATAACGTGCGAGTACACCCATTATTGCCGAGTACCCATTATTGCTGATTTTCGTTTTTACGTTTAAAAATCTGTCAAACGGTATTTATTTGTAAATTTTTTGCAAAATACATAAATTACACAATTTTTCCAAACCCCAAATCGTCTCGGAGAAAGAAAAAGTTGTTTAGAATTAATAAACTCACCATTGATATATCAAGTCTTTGAAAACGCACAAAAAAGCAGTCGTGCGACAGGACATGCCATAGAATTTTCGGCTAGCTTTCCATTTTCCTGACAGAATCAGTCATGTTTTGGTGCAAATCAAATGAATATTCTCCTGCATGCAATGATACTAAACGAAATTATCCATGGTAATTTTTCTACTTGCATTATTTAACGAAAATTACGACGAGTATGAAGCGTCTGCTGTACGACGCCATTTTTGTTTTATACGGGAGCGGATCAAAATGCACCACATGCACCTGTTCTTAACAAATCTGCAATAGGTTATTTTTATCGATTTATTTTTGCTCATATCGCTTCAAAATTATATGGACAACTTTTTAAAATAGCATAACAAGGTGAAAGTGTCTTATTTAATTTTTTTAAAATTAAAATATATATAAATGGGATAATAAATGGGAAAATGAGGAAAAAATTCACAAGTTCTGGATGACATGAGAGTACAAAGACATATCCTGGATTCATCCTTGGAGAAACAATATACCCAATAACTTGCTCTACATTTTTTTTTCTTCAAGAGATAAAAAAAATAAATATTATGAAAAATGGAGTTCTATTGAAGATGGGGGTGCAAGCTACTTTTCTTCAAAAACCCCTTTTACAACTCCAAGTCATTTTATGGCTATAAAAATTGGAAACTAAAACCCATGCAGGGGCTGGAGGGTCTAAATTCATACTTTATAATTGAACAAAATAGAGAAAAGTTACTTCCATTTACAGTTACAACATTTCTTTACATACTCCTATATAGTTTTAATTCTTCACATAAAACTGTAAAGCTTTGATTTAGCAGCTATAGGCAGAGGTCTGTATGACATTCATTCAACTCCTTAAAATTTCTTCAGATACTGTAGTCAACCATTTATTTGGTCATTGGCAAGGCAAAGACTTAAAAAAAAAACTTTTCTTTCTTCCAAAAATCTCAAAGAAATGGGATGAACTTACAGTAACCTGTAGCTCCGGTCTCGCATGGAGGCTTGCACAATTCCCCTTTAATATAAACTGCGCATCTTTGTCATACACAAACTTTAAAACGTGGTCAGATTGTACGGCAGTCTCCGATTTCCGCATAAGTTTCGTTGTACCAGCTGTATAATTTGACCAAGGAGAACGCCATATCGCAATCGCGTAGCCTATACCTAATACCTTGTGTAATATGGCGTCTTCTTTGTTTATCTCAAGAAACGAAATCTGGCGATGTCTAGGGGGACACTGTGTAGGCCTAACACCTGCATCATTAGGGACTCCTCGGCTGATTAGGTTTGCCGAATGAGTGGAAAATTTAGCCTGGTACCCTGTCTCACCATTGCCGAGGCAGTGACGCAGAGTAAACGAAGCAAAACAGGGACAGGGAACCAGGCTATGCGTAGGAATTTGTTAAAAGTTCTCTACTAAGAACAAATGTATTTTTGATAACTGCACAATAATAATTACAGTACAGTTTATATTCACATTTAATTAATCAGACTATGAGTATAAATTGTTTCAACAGCGATTACAAGTAGATACACTATATTTCAGAACGTCAGTTTAATTTGGCGACTATTGGGTCAACATCCTGCCTTGAACAGGAAGTTGAACAGGATCCCATAAGCCGGCTATTGCTCTTTGAGCAATAAGCCCGGCTAAAAAGTATTGAAAGATTTTGGAGTTTGAACTTATTTCTCCTCCCGAATCAACAACTGCCTTCTTTTTTCGCTTGTCAATTTTTTTCAGGTAAGTTCAATCTCCCCCTTTCAAATTCGATTGTACGTCACTGCTATGTCAGCGAGTTTCGTGAATAAGAGACTAATCGTGACTAAATCAACTTGTATTTAATAATGGAGGATTGGATATGAGTAAAATGTATAGTTTATGATAAAATTGTGTATTTTAAATGATTTTATCTAAAATAATATATTCCGTTTTTCGTTCCGTTTCGTCTTCCAGTCCGCGTTGTAGCAACACCCGTCCCAAAAAGGGATTCTAAGTAGTCGAGGTACACCAAAGTCATTTTAAAAAAAAAAAAATCTGCTGCTTTTCTCATTTCAGTTCAACATACGACTTCTTTGTTGATATCAATATGTAAAACACTTTCCAACATTATTGCACTTGAGAAGTTCCGAGATTGCGGATAATTTTTTATCTGATTAACACTTTGGACTCAAGGCAGACATATGTATGACCGAGGAGACAAATTTTTTTCTATGCATAATCATATTTAGTAGTCTTTGCGTTGCACTCAGTTACAAAAACTATGATAGTTTTATTGAAATTTAATATTCTGATAATAATTGGGATTTTAAACGAAAATTAAATTAATGTTTTACATAATAAAACTTCAGTGGATATACTTATACTGAAACGCAACATGCGGTAATCTACAAATATTTGAATTTTTTATTTAATGGTTTTCAAACATAAACCCAGTAAAGTACGACTAAACTCACTTTTTAAAACATCAGAAATTTGATAAAAATGTTAAATGATTATCTTTTAACTTTAAAAAGTACCATATGACTGTTAAAACATCCCCTCCCAGACATTCAATTAAAGCATGCAAGGCCGTCCTACACAACAATTGCAGCTGAATTTCTAAGATACAATAGGTTCATCAATTTTAAATATCTGAGCGAAGAAAATATTCTTTGCCCATTTTTATATGCCTGGTTTTCAGATGATAAGGTCGAATTTTCTCTAATCTAACGCAGTGTAGAAACACTTGAACTTCCGGTCCACGGACCGTCATTAATGCATAAGATAGGTAAGAGTCTGCTGAGGTGTAATATAGTGCATTTTTGCATCAGCAACTCTCCATCACCTTTATTTTGAGATTTTCCAACTATAGCAATGGAAATGCGTACTTGTCATTTTTAATAAGCCTTAGCATTGCTCGAAAGGAAAATGTGTTTTTTTTAAATATCGCTGCATTACTTGATGACAAACAGTTACAAATCAATTAAACTCCATAATATTGCAAAATGTTTGTTAAACATGCAATTTTCATTTTCTGTGAAGCAGACTCAAACTTAAGTTACATGTCCGATAATGGTACGAAAATCGTTCAAACGTAAAATTATCGATACTTACTAAGTTGTAAATATTAATACTTTTGAGATACAAAATTCTTTACTATATATATCATTATTTTCCCCTGAAATAGGATGTTGCGTTTCTTTTGCGTTTCAGTATATATTGTCACCTGGTCAGGCTAAAATAGAGAGAGTTCGACCATCAAGAATTTTTCACTAACTTTAATGGTTAGAATTTGCATTCAAGATTGATTTTAAATCAGAAGTGTCAATTTAAAGTAGGGCTCCGGAATTGTTTTTTTTGCCCCTTTAATCGAAGATTCTCGGGCATATATAGTTGCCTAAAAAATTTGTCTCCAGCAAAACATCAATTTAGGATCGGCGTTTATTCATTTCTGTTGAACGTTTCATAATAATGGCCACTCACAGCAAATCTTATATGTGCAATCAGAAAGATATTAGATCATGTCTTTATCAATAATAATTATAAAAAGAGCAACAACAAAAAAACCCACCCTCCCGCCTTTCCAAAAAAATCGATTAAGTCATCCTAAATACTTAGTTTAGGATTAATTATTACATGTAATCATTTAGCAACAATTAAATATTCCTTACTAAATATAAATATAATAAGGAATTTGACCTTTTCTATGGCGTATCGCAGGAACAATAGCACTCAGGCTTCAATTTACACTTGCATATTTATCCAATAAAAATTTCACGTAGAATTTCTCGTTGTATTTAAGGAAATACATGGCACATTTGGAGAGAGCGGTTTCGTATATTCCATGTGCAGGTATGCTTTCTTCTTATATCAACCAAGTTAAAATAATTTATAAGCGACTGTGATTATTTTTTATTTCGCAGAGATATGTAAATTTTGGGTATTTATATTTTTACATATAAACTTTTTTTCTAAAAACTTGTATTTAATAATTCTTTTTATTTTGTTATAGATATCCCCTCTTTTCAAACATCATCATGTGCGAGAAATTACCATTTTGTTTACCAAAGTTAGACAAGATTGCCTTCTTCCTCGACAACCTGGAACCATCAGGTATTTCCTTACAACGAAGTAATAGTTTTTGTCTCAATCCTGGCAAGAGCAGAAAATTTGATTCACTCGATGAGAAAAACGGTTCTCAGAGATTTTCTCATCCAGTTAGAGAGCAGCTTTTGTCAAAGTGGAACGAGGGAGCATCTAAAAATGAATGTATTTCAGTTAATAGACGTCGTATCTGTGGAAAATGTTCCCAAAGAAGTGAGGTGAAACATGCAAATACTGATACAACTAATCAGTTGGCGTGTTCTGGGAAACTGGAAAATGTAAAATACAAATGCTCCTCTACGAATGCGGGTTCAAAACAGAATAATACTAACAAAACGAAAAAAGCAAACTTAGTAAAATTCGAAGTTGCATCTTCCGCAACTAGAGATCAAGAATGTTGTACGAGGAAGTTTTATTCCATCGTTCCATTAAATGATGACAGGCCTAAACAACAGAAAATTTCTAATGGTGAAGAACAAAAGCTACTCTCAACTATTCTGCAGATTAATCCTGACGCTAAAAAGAACATTTCCTTAGTCAGACATGGCTCACTTCCACCATTGTCAATATGAATACTGTAAAAGGAGAAAATTTCGTTGGGAATTAAATTTTGTTTATTTCGTTGTTAACAATTATCAACAAAATTAAATCCGACTCGAAATTTCATAGAGTACATATTGAATAGAATTACTCTCGAAAAAATAAAATGTTTGATATATACATGTACTTATGATTTTTGTACATTGTTTCACTCTACGATGTTTTGAATTAAAATGAAATGCAAATAATCTCAAACTTGTTGTGTTTATTGTCCTCCCTCAACATGAAGAGCAAGTTTTTTTTAAAGTCCCTTTGACATCCTATTGATATGTCTAAGCTATGTGTATAGCTTAAATTATAGTAAAGACATAACAAAGACAGCATATATTGATTGAATACTGTCATTCATTAAATGACAAAAACTCGAAAACAAAATAATAATAATAAACAGGAGATCACTGGCCTGTTGATGAAAACATTTTTTTCAATATGCAGATACACTGGAATCTCCCTTGTGACAAGCATCAATTTGGAATAAATATTTTGACAAATAAAACGTACATGAAACAAAAAAGTTGATAAGAGAAAAAAAATTCAAGAAAAGCAAACAGTTATAATAAG